ATTGTTGCACATTACTTAAATGAAGCCAACAAGATGCCTCAGTAGGTCACTGTGATATTCTTCTCTTTTTAATCTTGTTCATATGGAGAGAAACTCATATTTGGTATGTGAGAGTTGGTTTCATGATCCATCCGAAAGCAAGTAGCTATTACGTTTGGCACAGGATATGTGATGAACTGTGCAATGAATTCTGGTCTAGTTGGGAAGGTCTGTACAAATTAAAGTCGGTGTTACCACATTAATATGAGTTATGCATTTCCAAATATGTGTTCAGATTGTCCTATGGGTTCTTATTCACTGTGTCTCAATTCTTCATGCTCCTAAACAGGGAGGAAAATTGCCTTTTGGATTCCTTGATTTTCCAACACAAGGATCTGGTGCAACAGTCCAGATTTTTCCAACACAACAGTAAGTTTCATACTGTCTTCACAAGTTCATCCTAAATTGCATGGTGTTGTCCTCTATCTTGTATTTGATTTCGGGCCAATCACAGTCCGGAGAGGCGAAGGAAATTGCCGAGGGAGAGCCTCCGCCTGAAAAGGATACTTGTTATTTGTCAAGCAGATGTATAGCACGGAAGGGAAGCTTTTGCAAACTTCCGGGAACATGCGTATCTGCAAGAAATACAAGGTTTGACAATGATGAATTTCTATTTCTTTGCTTCTTGTCCAATTAGCATTGTCTTTGTCATGCTGCACTCCATGCTTTCCCTGCATCAAACCAATATTGGCAGAATTTAAGTATCTTATAAAAGAAATTGAATTAGTTTGCATATACATATTTAATGCCTTCTTTTGGTTCAAGATTGCATGTAGTTGAGGCCCATAGGGTATCTCTATGCCACTTCAATGTCACCTCCTGTTGTTCTACAAGCTCTATCTGCAAGTAAGATTGTTCTTGTTCTAACATCCCAACTTGATCAGCACTCTTTTTAACTGGCCATAAAAAAGTAGTATGTACATACACAAATAAAAAGAAACATATATATATGTATATGTTTCTCCATGTGTATGTATACATATGTATAATAGTACACTGTTCCAAGCTAGGCTGTTACAGTCACACAACTGGAGAATTGATTTTAAGGTAGTTATAGAAAACACCTCTGATTTTTGACTTGTTTCAAAAGCACTTTGAAAGTTCTGCTATATCATCATGGTAGTAACATAAGGGGTGAACATATAAAGGGAGTTCAATAGTAGCATAAGGCAACCATGAACGTTAAGGCAATGTCTAAACAGAGGAGAGAACAGGGTGGATAATGTCTCCTTGGCATGATTCTTGGGAGGTAAAGGGCAAGGGAATAGTATTCCTTTTGTGTATATATGGCAGGCTCTTTTGTAACATTCTCTTATAAAAGCTGTAGTTTTGCAGTAAGTTTTATAGTGCCACTGTACATTTTGATAGTCATTAATCCATCAAACCGGAGCCGGGAAATCATTTATCTACCATAGATGAAGCTCCTCAACATATCTTAGATTTGCTAGGCCCATCAGCTTAGTTTCATCGTTAATGTTATAATAATGCCCGCCGGTGTTTGGCATGTGACCATATTGTTCTTTTTCTCCTAAATTTTCTGTCCTGATGACATTGGATTTACTTAGGTTGGAGACATTATAACAGTGGAGTAATCCTCTTCAGATATTGAATTAGACAAGGGAGCTACATTTCTCAAACTGGCAGATGTAAACCTTATGCTGGTGAAACAAGATTGCAATCTGTAGGAGCTGCAAGTAGATGCTCTCACTTTTGGCTTGATAGGTGAGGGGGAATGAATAGCTTTTCTGTAATGAATAAATAGTGTTAGAATCTCATAGATATGAGTCTTGAAAGCTTCCTAGTCCTCGGTACTATCAAGTGATGTATCACTTTCATCTCACAACTTGTCCATCAAACCAGCATTGATAAACAAGGACAATAATAATACGTTTTTTTCTTCTTAAAAGAAGAACAAGAAGAGTCAGTATTAAGTGAAATCTGGTCTAACTTGAGAAGGTGGATTGATTGTGACCTCTTTTTGAGTCCAAGAACAGTAATTTTTAAGGTAAATAAATTTAAGATTTTTTTCAGAAAAAAAAGTATATAAGATTTCTTAACTTGGATTTCCTCAATGGTTTATCTGTGATAAGATATGAGAAAAGTGACTAGTGACAAGGGTATCTCTCTGCAATAAGGCTTTGTTCCTGGATGACATTGCCAAGCTATGAGAGCTTCTGAGGATAGGTCAGATGCACAAGCCTGCTTGCCCAAAAACACTTGCATATAACATGAGACTGCAACAGAGAGAAAAAAAAATAGAGAAGGAAAGAAGAATAAAAACAATAAGAGAGAGAGAGAGAGAGAGAGCACTCAGAAGAGGCATGCATGTACTCTTTTGCTGGTTTGGCATCTCCAACTTGTCAGAATGCCAG